CAGAAAAATCATCAGGACCCTTCACCAAGCATGGCAAAAGTAGTGTGGAGCCTGGGCATGGTGCTAGAGTTTGTTCCCAGCCTCTGTTATGAGACTAAGAAATATGGTGCTGCTGAGTGTGGCCCATTTCAGCAGGTATCACAGCAGGCCCTGAATTGCTTCCTGATCTCTACCCTAGTCAGGGAGGCAGCATTCCAGGGAAATAAGCCCCTTTCTGTGTTCTACCTTGTGTCATTTCCATAGGCTCAAACTCCAGGATATCTGGGAGGTACATTTGGTAGCCGTGTTCATACTGGACAGTTGGCAAGGGTCGAAGATACTGTCAGGTCCTGGAGGAACTCAGCATAATGCCACACTCAGGCCCCGCCTCCTCCCAAGTCCTGACCCTCTGAAACAGAAGTCTCAAGAGACAGGAAGTGGATTGAAGTCTTAAGCCGACTCCTCCCCAAGTTCAGCATCTATGATATCTATAAATTTTATAAAACTAAACTGTTATTAAAGAAATCTCAAAAAAATAGCCTGAATAAACTATAATTATTTGATGAATGATGACAACATTAAAATACCTCAAGAATGGCATTTGCCACTTAAAATGCAAGACCTTGAGAAAGATCATTCAGTTGTCCACCAACCCATGTCCTCTCTTGTAGTCCACGGAGTAAGACTGAAATGTTTTCCCTGGCTAGTGTGCTTAACCTTGCCCTCCCAATTTGTGTCAAATGTAGATGAATGGATTAACTTCTTAATGTCACTGTTGCTCTGTGAATTTAGATTGGAGGAAGATCAGGACAAAAACATCCCTGACAAGGTGGACAAAACCTTAATCAGTGGGCCTAGAAGGATGGAAAAAGAGCAGACGATAGCTTGTAGATCTGTTTTGAGTCAGCTGTACCATTTCCTTATAACTGAGAAATATTAATCTTCATGTGATACTCATTTTTCCATAAGTATATTGGAAATTTTAAAACTGAATAAGCTGGAAGGTTTTAAATAATTGCTGAAAATGGATTTTTAAAAAAAGGTTAAAGTGATTAAAAAACTTTTGAATAGATACAGTTCCTTAAATGATTTATTCCATCGTATTGTCTACAGTAATACTGGAAATGTGACCTCTTTTCATCTGGTATGATACTAATTGGGAAAAACTTCTGTTTACTGTGTCTGGTTATGTGTGGAATAGAGAACCAGAGATTTCACATGTAACTGGTAAGTTGTGATACACAGTGAGGCTTTGTTCATCTGAATCTGTAATATTTTATAAAAACTGCACTTTGCAGTCAGTTGCATTATATTTGAAATGGCTGTTAAAATGTATTTCATCCATAGAACAAAAATGTCTCATGATCATAGGTATTATGCTAAAAAACAAAACAAAACAAAAACTCCACTTGACGGTTGTAGAAATGTAGATCATGTGATTGCTGACCGCAGGCCCTGGAACAGAAGCTTTTGCAATAACCTTGCCAAAAGTTTCAAAGGTCATTTTCTCTCCATTCTACTGTAGTCTGATGCTGTGATATACTTGAGTGAAATACTTAGTTTTATGTTGAGCCTGATGTCAAATTTACTTTTATTTTCCTATTTGAAAGGCTGTCCAGGCCCTCGGCATAAGGCAGTTTCTTCATCAGCATGTGTGGGTCTGACAGGGGTGTGTGGTTCGGGCAGAGCTCCTGTGTGGTGTGCAGGTGCCAGAGCAGCCTTTTGGTGGAGACTTGGTGCCCCTTGCTCCAGGCATCTTTCCTAGTTACATAGGAAGCTAAGATGGAGGCCGACACAATGATTAATTCACAGGAATGTTCCTTCTCCTTTGATATTAACTGTGTTGCTTTTTTCAACTGATCTGATTAATAATCTGTTAATGGATCTTTTAAAAATGTAATGAAATAGGAAGGACTATTAAAGTTTCTTGGCCTGGATACACAGCAGAAGATTGCAAATTGCTAATTCATCAAAGTGGAAATGAGGGCCTGTTCCAAGGAAAGGTTCCCTTGGAAAATTCATGGAAGCAGACTTAGGGAAGGGAAAAATTCTGCCTGGATTCTCAAGTGACTCTTGTGACTGGAGCCTCTTGACTCATGGACTCAAGTGATGGACACTGTTTTATTTTCACTCTGGACAACCACTGTTGGGGACATTGATGAATTGGGGGAATGCTTCACCAGGACAGCAGCATCATTGCTGAGGAGTTTGCTGTTAATAAAAATTCAGTGCTTTCTTTGAGCCTGGGTGATTTATAATGCTTCTTCATTTGGGAAACAGGGAATTAGAATAGGTTTTTGAGTGAGCTGTGCCTTTTTACCACAACTAATAGATATTTTCGCAAAGATGTTCCATTCTCTTGTATGAAGTGTCTATTCTCATGGAGTTTAAATTTGAGTGTGCTCTTAAAAATTGCTACTTTTTAAAAAACTTTCAATTGCAACAGGGAAAAGACATTATAAATATTTCAAATAGATAGTGTCTTGCTTTTGTATACACATCATACAAAGTGTCTGTAATTATACTCTTTGCCGATAAATTTACTTATAAACAGGAAGTTTTCAGAAAGTCATCCCAAAGCATGTCTATCTGTATGTAGCAATGCATGTCTGTAAGTAGTAAGAAGTTCATTTTTATTTGGAGTTGGTGCAGCAGTTTTTCTTATTATATTCCTGAGGCCCTGGTATTGTTTTAAAGGTTGGTCACTAATTGGGTGGACAGCAGAAATAAAAAATTGTGCCATTGCATGGGTAAAATATGTTCTGTAATTCTTGCATATTCAATACCAAACTGCAAAGGTGCATAATTATGGAGTAATTTAAAAGGTAATATGCAGCTTTCACATAACCTGTCACCTGCCCAAATGCACGCTACACATTATAGCATGATTGGTTCATGCTAATTTACCGAACAGGATGTTATTTCTGATCTTTGCATCATATAACTGTTCCCTACCTGTAAGTAAATTGGCTGCACACTTAGCCCATTCCAAATGTGCTAGTGATAGAGTTCTTATAGATAGAGGAAGATATATTGGTAAGTGATATTTAGGCAACACTGCACCCATGAAGCTGCTTTGATTAGTAAATCAAGTGAAATGATACTTGACAATAAATATGTTCCCAAAACATCAGTCCATCAGTGGTGGGTTTTATAAATGTGCCCTGCTGTTACATACAGCACAAAATGAAAACTTTCATGGTCCTTTAGTCTTTCTAGTTGTTGCTGTCTTCAATGAAAGGCAAAAAGCAAAACACTTATTTGACGGTAGGTCTTCTCAGGTTTAATTGATGATTGTGTATCTTGGCGATAGTATGTGTGCAGTGACCCCTCAAGGACAAGGGTGTTGCAAGGCATTCTCCTTGTTTCTTTCAGTGAGTGGGCCATTGTCAGCTGATGCTAGGCTCCTTACCCTTTATACCTTGCTGTCCAGGCACACTCAGCTCTTCATAGAACAGCCAGTGCAGCAAACATGCAGGATGCACAGGAAACTTCTGCGAGTTGCTTAAGCTCTTTCTGAAGTTACAAGATTTTCCTGCACCTTGGTTCCTTCCTCTTGTATATTATAATGGCCTTGGGAAGAATGAGTATCTGAGATCAAAGGTACAAATGCAGAGGTCCTGGACATCTGCTTTTTGGAGCCACGTCACACACTCTTGTGACAGGGAGCACTATGTAAATTACCGGAAGTCTTTGTTCTATCTGGGAGTTCATAGGAGAGGATCTTTGAGGTGGTACCAGTAGGTGGCTCCCAGTTGATTATAGAATGTGGATGGGATACTCCTCCTACCTACCCTGGGATGGCACACTGGGCCTTTCTTTTCTGAACACAGCACTTGCTTTCATTCTCTTCTTTCTGAGGAGCATGTGAGGGTAGCAGGAGCCTCATGTTCAAACTTGCAGTGCCCCTTCCTTGCAAGTGGATTCTGTTGCTGTAGATACATGGTGGGGTGGGGAAAAAGGGGGGAGGTATTTCCTCCCATAGGCAGCCCAGGTGACATAGCTGCCGTTTCCCTGAGGGTATTGGAGCAAGGGTGGGCTGGTTTCTGCAGGTGAGGCAGGGCCCCTGCCAAGGTGGGGCACTTGTTTCTCACCTGGGGGTGGGTGGGCAGAGGGATGAAAGGAAGAAGCTTGCCAGTTCCCTAGGACTGGCGACCAGATTGGTGTCACTTCTAGAGAGAAGCTGCCTGGACTGGACTGTGGGAGGATTTGCATAACAACAATGGATGAGTTTAGTCTTCTCCTTTGAGGTTCTTTAAAAATCAGACTTCAGTTAAGTGCATCATGTTGTGAGCCCCTGTGGTACCCTGGCTTCTCAGTGGTCAAGCTCATGCCAGAGCACATGGATGGGGAGGCTTTGGCCTGCCCAGGACCCATTGTATTGCTTTTTAGCCCATACACCCTTCCTGCATTATTATTTTCTTAATTTTATTTTCCCAAAATAGTAAGGCTATGAAGTAAGTTTGATAGCCACACAGAATATTACCTTTGCTTTTTTATTTAAAAATTAATAAAGAACTTAATGACAAGTATAATAATTCAATCTCTATACATAATGCCATGTATACATCTACATGTGAGGGGACACTGTATGTTCCACCTTGGTTTTGTATCAAAGTTTTTACTTAAATCTTTCCAAGAGAAAGATCACCATCTTTCAGTGACACATTGCAATTAAACCATGAAGTGATTCTGAAAAATACTGTTTTCTATTCTGGATATTACTTTCTATTTTTAGAGTTGAATTAATTTATCTTCAGGTTCCTTTTTGAATTCTGGAAATGTAAATCTTTTTACTTTTTAGTCTAGACTGATTCAAAATGGTGACATCTTCTGTATTATGATGTCCTCGCTTTTGGGACAGCTGTATAGTATTAGTTAGAAAGCCACTAATACCCTTTTTCAGTGCACTGAGATGGTTGGGATTCTTAAAACATAGGAGAGATAACTTGTTGCAAACATTTTTATAACTTTAGTTAAAAACAGTATAAAAAACATGAAACACATTTTTAAATTGTTCATTTTTTTTTTCATCTACGGGAAACAATTGCACTTCCTTCATGGTACGGGATCAACTTGCTTGTTGTTCTTCTTGCACAAAATTATTTCTCAGTTCTATTTACTGCTCTCCAGGGATTTGATTCCTTATTTAGTAGTTCCACAAAATGGGTATGTGTTAGTGTGTTGTAAATTAAACACATCTCTGTAGGATTGTTTGAGTAACCTCCAAAGAATATGTATACAATCTACTCTTAGTTTAATTTTCAAGTCCCGATCTGATTCCTGATCACTAGGTTCCTGTAGAACCTAAACCCTTAGTGCTAAACTAAAACTGCTGTTGAGTGAAAAGGAAAATGGACTGCAAGAAGAAGCTCTAATCTGAAAAAAGCAGGTTGAGATCCTATTACCAAGGTGAGCCACTTTGTGTTTGGCATCTATTCAGCAAGGTGTGCCTTTCTGCACACAGTTAGGTATGAAACTGCTGGATCGAAATTTGAAGGCTAGGTTTTCTGGTATATTCACAAACTATGCAAAATTTAAGTTATACAAAACAAGGCAAAATAAGATCCCTACTTTCTATTGTGAAAAGCAAAATACTGATAGACAAAGTCCTTAATAGTCTAGGGGATTTTGATTTCTATAAAAAGATATTGCAAAGGTGCAAAGAAATGAGTGAAAAAATAAAGGAACTAAGATTTACATAGCAATGTGTAATCAAGAGAGAATTCCAAGTGTTACTGTGGATTTAAAAAATACCTAAAAACATTTGATTCACAGCTTTCCCCTAAGTATGTCATTTAGTACAACTTACTAATAGGTTAAATGTAGGTGATATTAAGTTTGTCCATTGGTAGCAGCTAAACAAAACAGTTTCTTTTTGAGATGGTCAGATCTTGCACAGTTGTTACAAAGCATAACGAATTACATAAAATGTTTGGCTGCGCTTATAGGGCGAACAATGTCAAGGATTGATCCGCAAAAACACTCTCCGTCATGGTTCAGGAGCCTGTGATTTATTGGTGAGTGCATTATCCATTGTGTATCTCTATATGTTTTCAAATTCTTGTCAGAATTTATCATTTGGCCTTTGGGTACCAAAAGATTATAAACGAGATCTAAGAAAGCTTAATGTCCAACAGCTCTGACCCTGTCAACTTGCAATGATTAAAGGCATGTTTTAACTTTGGGGGACTCCTGGCTGGTGGCTATTTGGAGAATGAGGAGTAACATGTTGTAGGTCTGGAGATGAAGAGGATGCTAAATTTGAGGTGTCAGTGTGACACTGAGATGTGGTCACTTGGTTTAGCGCTACAGCACATGAAGGCAAATATACAGAGTCACATTTTAGAGATTATTCATGGTCTCTGACCACTTGAAAAAATTGTGCTTTCTCCGGAATTTGATGTGCTGAAAATTGCACTCACCCCCTGCTTATTTGCAAAATGAAACATAAAAATGAAGTCTTTTGCAAACGTAAGGCTTGCGTTTTCTTCTTGTTATTTTTAAAAAAATAAAGGCTTGGAAATAATTATGAGTTTTACCTGTGTACAGAGTGACTGCCTGACGTTTTACAGGTTGGAAATGTAATACTTACAGATCTGGGAGGGAAGGGGATAGAATTTTACTTATCATCTTTGACTACATAAGTTTCATTTTGGATTTTATATCCCACATCAGTGAACTGCAAAGAACAGCTGGCAAGGTGTAAAATTTACTCCCTTGCTCTGTTAATGATCTGTTGATACAAAAGGCCTTTTTGGTACGCAGGGCGAGAAGCAGGGAGTGCATGTATCGGCACCACAGTTCCCTGGATCCAGTTCCTCTTTGGAACAGGATTGACTTAACTCCAGTGGGTTTTAAAGACAGCCTCGAGACTCCACACATCAAAGAGTTTTAAAGGAACCAGAGTTTCCATCTTCCGTGCTTTTTAGACTCAGTTTTGGATTTTTGCTTGGGCGTTGAGGAGGAAGTCTCCTGAGTGTAAGGCGAAGGTGCGACCTGAGTTTCCTCAATAGGATTCAGTTTCTTCAGTACAGGCTGTAGTTTGTCTTCTTGCTGCTTAAAATCCAGCTCCACACTAGAAAGATAAAATGAAGAATTCAGTGCTTGATCTTCCCACTATCAAAATTCCCCTTAGAGCAAAATTCAGCAATATCATACCAGGGTAATGATCATTCATATTTTGTTTATAATGTAATTTTATGGTTTAACATTAAGCAATTGGCTATATTATATTTTTGCTCTAGACTGCTGTGAAATGTTTCAAACAGAAAATAACTTGTTTACTTTCATGGGTGAATCTCTAAAGTTTCGTTAATGTACACAGTGTCAAAGTATAAAATATATATGTTGGAATGAAAAATATGAAATACAAATAACTTCATTGTTTATCTATACACTGTCCACATGTGGTTCATGAGATAAGACAGATAACCCAAACAGGTGTAGGCAGAAGTCACCTTACTACAGATGTACCAGGTGAATGCAAGCTCTGATTCTTTCCATCTTGTTACAGGGCATGGAAATCTATTTATCTCACCCGAAACCATTGTGAAATGGAATAGCCTTGGCTTACATTCTCCTTGCAAAATCTTATTCCTGCGAAAGCTCCCGAGAGCCATAGTGTCAAACCTATGCTGGCGGGAATAGTGTGTTTATCGAGTCAACACCATTGAATGTTACTGAGTTGTTAACAAACACTGTTTTTAGGAAGCAACACAGTCTGTTTCGTAAAGGCAATACAAAATTGTAATTACATCACTGGAGGCATAGTGTACAAATATGTAGCTAGGTGGAAGGATTTGTGCCAGTGTTGATGTCTGTGACAGAAAGATGAGATTAAAGGTGATTTTAAAAACAGATGTTGTTTCTTAGGAAGTTTCTCTGAAGAATACTGTTAGCTTGTGCGGAGTCCTCCCTTCTTGCCATGTCTTTAGAAAGGAACATTCCAGGTCTCCCTTCTCTTACTCCTAATGGCTCCTCTTAGCATAGGGTAAGACCCCTTCTCCCAGGTGACATTTTTGTGTGGTGACCTCAGCATTGGGGAGCTTTTTCCCTCTTTTTGCTTACCCCAACCCCTTTCAAGAACCCCTGTAGTTTGGGCCCGGATATTACATCACACCAGGCTTGGGAGAATTCTGCAGTGTCCTCTTCCTTCTCTGTTCTGGGTGGCAGACTAAATGTCAGTAGATTGCAGTGAAGTCTTGGTAATGATGATAATGCAGGAGCTCTTAGACTTTATAACCAGTGGAACCATAAACCATGAAATTCTGTTGATTTAGGGAACCATTAATTTTGACAAATTTAGCCAAATTTTGACATTTTGGAAAGACAAAACAGCAAAGCTGTATTATCAGGAGTTTTAAAAATAAGTTCAAGCCCCATCTGATGAACCATTTTATATTTTAAATCTAGTGGTTAATTTTTCTCATTGTCAAAGAATGTATTACTCAGAAATTTTAAAAAATAGAAAAATTTATGGCCAGTTATGCTCTGGATCCAAAACAAGACAATTTTTTCCCCATTTCAAAGGCCTCTTTTTGATATATCACCGTTTACAGAAATAGAATAAAACCTTATGAATGCTAGTATTGCTAATCTAGAATATGTGATAGTGGAGACATAGTTCCTCTTGGAGACAGCTATGAAGACTGCAGACCTTAGGATATACTTCATCTCTAAAATTCCAGCGTCAGCTCTGTGAGGTGATGTCCTAGTATAGGAGGTAGGAGTGGGGGGTTCAAGTTAAGGCCCTTATGCTCTTTAAGTTTTCTTTTCTTCCACTTCAAGGAGAGGTAATGATTGTTTTCTTACTGAATTTTGGCTTTTGGTAAGGACCCCACCCCCACTCCCCTGGGCTCAGTCTCC